TTGGCCACAGCGCAAGCGGTAGGAATTCGGCTGCACCACCCCCTCTGTGTGCCCAACAACAGTTTGTTCAGTCGCTTAAGCTCCCCTTGTCCGCCCCCTACACACCCCATATTCCGATTGGTCCCAACGATCGGATGACCTAACAATTATGTGATCATTGAGAATTCCACATCCGGTCCCGAGACGAAATTAGCCCCAGATAACCCAAGAGGTTATTTTTTCTTTCCCGAAACATTTGTTTGCGTTTTTATGGTTGAATACTAATTTATATATAAACAGCGTAATATTTATTGTGATGTATTTGGCATGGCTACGAATCACTGAAAATGAGCTTGTTCGTTGCTCATTGTTCTATTCGAAATGTGCTCTGGGGGACTATTCAGAAGATTAACGATCTCTTAAGCAGTGGAACCCACACCTATGACTATCAGGAGTGCCTGGTGCCTCTAAACAATCGAATGGGTTAACCCAAGCTTGCTACTCTAAATATGCAGAAAATACTTCAAATGAAACGGGTTAAAGAAGAACAACACAAAGAACCGTTTCTTGACGTACTTTATGGTGCATCCAGATAGCTTACATTATTGCATTCATAGGTAGACCCGGTTAACGAAAAGTCAATAGACAGACAAACAGACAGACAGAAATACAGATATAGACGCCGTACATATGGCGTTCCTGTGGTTATTCTTTATTCTTAAGAATGATCCTTCTCGAGTTTCACGCAGTTGATAATTTATTGTCTGATTTCTTCTCCATCTTTTCTGTTCACAATCTGAGATGCTGGTGCGTGATCAGGACAATACGGGTAAGGCAGTTGACTGAATGAATCTTCCAAAAATGAAACCAGGAGAATCCTTTTTTGAAGAAATCACACAGTATCTACAAAATCTGTCTTTAACCACTCTAGCATAATCTTTTCCAAATCCAAATATCAAATTGATGATCCCATGAAGTCATGTTTTGCTCCTGTTAGACCTTAATAATGGACCCGGAATGAAAAGACTTTCAGGCAGAATAAGTCCCTTGACAATTAGTTCCTTGCTGATGTTCATACATGTAAGTCGTTTGGGCTCCGTGGGTTAGGTAACCCATCTGGTGTAATTGAGTACAGTGATGTTGACATAACACATTCCGTAAAATCGTCGATACTGCTGAATATCCACCTTTCGGGGTGCATAAAGCAAATACTTGACTTGACTTGACTGACAAAGCCTGTCATAATTCCCATTTTTTCTGGCGTAAACGGTTTCATTTTGCCAATTGTACTTTGAGGACTGACGGAGTATTACCAATCGGTAATGTAATGTGACTCCCACCCCAGCGACCCTGATGCAATTCATCAAATTATTCATTCTGGACTGAACACGAAAGGGGGAACAGCATAGTCTTTACACCAAAATCTAGAAGGGACAACCAACCAACTGGTATGCCAAAACCACATGTGGGAGACAAATATACAGTACTGGTCGATTGTGATGCACTGAAATGTTTTCTTTATGATCAAACGGAGTTTCATAATATTTATTACCTGTTTTAATGCTTTATGTATGGACAATAATTTATATCTTGTCTACTGGGATCTAAGTATTTTCTAGGCTGCATAATTGTCAATTAAACGTACGTGACATTGGGTGCTAAGATTAAATGATCTGAACATGAAAAACGCAAACTTTATCAAGTATGAAAGCACAATATATTCTAATAGGAATAAATCAAGAATTATCCCAAATTATTTCCATAAACCCTTGCAACCTCGGATGTTTGCAATGAGGCATTTTTTTATCCGACATACAATTCATTATAGCAACTCTATTGAATAACCAAATGAAAATGTTTCACAACACGGGGAAATTACAATAAATGAGGTTTCTTAATAATAATCTGTTTGTTATCTAACTCACTGAATTCGAGAAATACCATTTCAATTAAAGTCAACCTTGAAATCAAGGTCATTTTTGTGCACAGCTTTGAATGTTCATATTGTTTTCACTATAATGAAGGAAGCAGCGCTCCAAACCAATAGTTCCCGTTATCTCAGTGAAGAGGACAGAAACAGAATTGCACGAGCACACAAGCTGAGATTTTCGATATCAAATCTTGCCCAATGCTTTAACTTTAACAAAAGCATAATTTACAGGATAATCCATGGGAAAACCACAACTAGAACCGCTTGCGGAGGCCGTAAACCGAGTACATCTAAACAGGAGGACGACCTGATTCGTATTACTCTTAAAAAACATTGCCGAAAAACGTTGTCGTCTGTTCAACGGGAAGATCTTCCCAGCCATTCATATTCCGTTTTGTATGGTGTGAGACGAGCCTTGTAAGGCTCACAAAAAATTCATTTGTGGTGAGAATTTCTCAAAAGGACTTATTCCGCCAAATGAAAGAGTTTCTCACCCGTCGAAATCTGGGCAGGGATAAAACATGGTCAGCCTGGTTGGTGGACATCGGTCAAGGACACCATGAATAGTGGGAAATTTGCATCAGTAATGACGAACATTTTTCCAGAATTTTATGAAAAAAATCGTCTGAAAAAGTTATCGTTTTTCAGGATAACGCTGCGTGTCATGCTTCAAGAGAGATTGGTAAATTTATTTAGTTGAGGATTCTGTTTCAATTAGTATTTGCTTTCAGACTTCAGAAGAAATCAGTGGCTCTAAGGTCCGGTTCATGCAAATTCCTCCTAATGACCCGGATCTCCGTGTGATTGAAAGTCTGTTTTCGGTTTTGATGAGAAATGTCAATGTGCTACCTGTACATTGGACATTGGAGGTAAAAGTGCGATACGTAATGGAGCATAAAATAGAAAATGACTTCATAACAAAGTTGGTGGATTCCATGCCGAAGAGACTCGAAAAAGTCCTAGAGAACAAGGGCAGACCAATCGACTATTAGTGTACATTCTGGTTATTATCAATGTTAATTCGTTGTAAATAAAATCTGTTCTATCTCCTTAATTTACCTTCTAACTTGTCATGCTGTAGGTCAACCCTTACTGATGAAATGGGAGTATCCTGTACATTCTGAGTTATTCCATCTGCTGAGTATAAACAAATCAGGAAAATCAATGCTATAAAGACTCACCAAGGCTTGTTTATCATTATTCGGGAGAAAATTTACTCTAGTATAAATACACTTGCCTATACGAGCACACAAGTGTTTCACAGGGACCTGTTACTTCAGTTTCGATTAGACCTGTATGTGTCATAAATTTGGTCTCCATTTGGTATACAGTTGTGGCCTGACAAGAATCTTTTTCTGAATCCGCATTGCTGAGATGCTCGGAAAGGAACTCATGTACAATTGGGACACCGTAAGTTATAATGGCTATCCTATAGATTTCATTCAGCAGCTAAAGCTTGTCAGGTTGACTACTGGCTCAGCGTCCAATTAAAAAGCATCGGTAACCAAACTTCATCAAACTGACTATGCTATCAGAACTTTGTATTTTAATTTAGTACAATTTAATGTTTTTTTCATTTCATCATCCATGCTCTGATAAGGACAAGAGCAAATCGGTAACTGTTCGCTTTAGTTTGGTAACGTTTATGCATTTGTTTGTCTACTTCTTGGACTGCAGTATACATCTAAAGAGGTAGAATGAAACTGCGCCGAAATTAGATCTTTCAAAGTACCGTGTTTTTGTGCTGTCTTGAAACCATAATTGACAAAGGTTGTTTCTGGCACTCAAACTCCGGCAGTGCAACATCTGTCAACTGTAATCGTAGCTTGATACGTTGCAGGCACACTAGGACAGAATGATCTGTTACACGTATCAAATGAACATGACTCAAGTTGATTGATAAGCCCAGGAAGACAGAGTGGCCAACCCGAAGAATATAATAATCAATATGACGAATTGAATCCTCTAAAACTCGAGGCCTCTATGCTCTCTATCTGGCTGATGTCATTGGTGTATCTTTCGGAACACTTTCGAAACCATACATGTTGCTCAGTTTTCCGTTTTGCTTCTTTTCCGCTCAATAGCCAAAGGCTGATCACCTTTTGCACCACCTGATGGTTTGATTACAAAGGTACCTGTTTCTGTGACACTCCTTGGTAGGATACCTTATAACTGATCATCTTTTGCATTTTTAAAGATGATTCAGTTAGTTTTTAGAGTTGCCGTGGAATTGGCAAACAAACCGGGACTATTAGCCATATGAACATCCGAATGGGAGGGAGTCATCATCGAAATTCACCAATCTCAATTGTTTGAACCAAATCAAAATTCTTCACAACCTCAAGCCCCTCTGGTCGTGTAACGTGATACAATCAACCGAACTAAAATCGCCGCTTGATTATGTGATCTATTTAGTTTTTCAAATGCATCCCACGACCTTTTCCACTCCATCCACTCCTCTTAAGCATTAGTTCCATATTTTGTATCTCCACTTTCTGCTTGTAAGCAAGCTCGAAACATACCCTTCAGAACTTTTAACCTATTGAGATTCTCTGCACAAAGAATTTAGGCTTTTTTCCACAAATAAAAAGACGTTTGTTGCTGTCTTGGCAAACAAGCTACCATGCATAGCCAGTTTCGCTTTACTATTATTTCTATGTAAAACCGCAAGTGTTGTCTTTCAATGATCACCATTTCCTGCTCTATTTGTAGGTATGATTTTACCACCAAAATTAAGTAAATTACTTCTTAACGATCACCAATCAAGCTTAACGACGGTTGCAGCGAATTTCCCCTCTATTCGTATCTTTCTATCAGCAAAATGGTCACCAGTCAAACAGGTCAATTAGCCTCTGACATTTAAATGCTTGGTTGTACACTTGCTTTGAACAGCATTATTCGAAGCATTTTTTTGTTGTTTTCCCTGTTTAACAGCGCACATGGTAATCATGTGTTCAAGTTTTACACTACTGTCTCATGGTCACACTGTTTTTAAAAGGTTTTCATAATGAATTGGTCAAACTTCATCAATTAACCTTACTTTCCTTCCTCCCTTTTCACTGAATAAT